ATAACGCGCACAAGGCCTTCGCTTTTTGGTGACATTGGTAAGTTAACCTGCAGATGCAAGATGTCTGTCCTGTTAAATGTGACTTGTTAGACTGCAAGTAACCAGCAGTCTGGTGGTAATCATTTGACTCTGCAGGACAGAGTTCACTGTGATTGTATGACACGCTTTTATATAGTTTCCTAGATCAAGGCTCGATGACAAATATTGCTGCCAAGAAATGTAGTGTGATCACATGCCGTTTGGCCTTGAATCAGTCACCAATGACAATTAGCAGGTTCCTAAAGCCCTGGATCAGTGTGACCTGAGTCAACAGATGGATGAGTCTCACTGTCCTGCTCGTGTCCTTTGGAAATGTTCCTTTACAGTGCAATTAAATAAATAAATCATCCATGACACATACATTCCTTATAAAACACTGATGATCAGGAGTGTTTGAAATGGCTACATGCCCTAAACTTAATTTCCCAGAATGCTGTAGTGTGAACTGAAGTTTGCCCTCAGACTTAAACGCTTAAAATTATACATAAATGTATCTTCCTATTATTCCAATTTAAATTCCAGTGCATTAATTGATAATGACTTCATTTGATTTTTAATCTTCAAAGAATACCATGGTATTACTGTGACAGAAGCATGATCATTTTTTATAATGATATTGAAAATGATAATTTTTGTAAAAACATTAAAAGTTTCTCATACATTATTAGAATGTGTCCTGTTTAATTTTATTTATTTAATGTTTTTTTTTTTCAATAAATAATGACTATCATTCATTTTTACCATGATTTACAGAGGACACCCACTAATATGTCATGTGTAACAGTAGTTTATGTAACAAAAACATCTTGTCGCATATATTTAGAACAGTCATTAGATGACAGTAAAAGGCTCTAAGGATCACAGTGCAGCTCCTAAAAACTAATTATTGTGATTTTAAATCTTTACCAATCTATCCTTCATACCACTAGGTTTTACCCATTTGTCAGCAAGGTATTTTTAGTCATTTAACATATTATAAAATTTTGTATGATCACTTTTTTATATATATATTTCAATAAGTACAGGTCAGAATAAGTATGTGGTTTCATTTTTACATAAATATGTCTGTTATTTGAAACATTAAAGTAGACACTTTACTTGCATTTAAAATGCAAGTACATATGAATATAAAATCACTTATATTTAAGTTGATGCAGACACCAAAATGGGACGTCTCATCTTCAAACCATAATTCCTTTTGGTGTCTAAATTTCACTTTACGTTACTGATGCATTATTTGAAAATCATTTATATGTACCATAACCGCCTATCTATGTTTTGACGTTCCGTCTCTTCTTTCTACCTGCAGCTCATGGTCTGGGGTTCTGGACCGATCGTTCGGCGGTGCATGAGGCCGCGGCTCAGGGCAGAGCTGTGCAGCTCCAAAAACTGATTGAGAACGGAGCATCTGTCAACATTGTGGCTGTGGACTCAATTACACCCCTGCATGAGGCCTGTATTCAGGGCCAGACACAGTGTGTGAAGCTGCTCCTGGATGCTGGAGCTCATGTAAGAATGTTCTCCATACTGCAGGCCTCATGAATCTGTCAGCGCATCGGTTGTTTATATTAGTGTCATTGTTAACAGGTTGATGCTCGTAACATTGACGGCAGCACTCCGTTGTGTGATGCCTGTGCTGCTGGTAGTCTGGAGTGTGTGAAGCTGCTGTTAGAGCATGGAGCCACGGTAAATCCTCCCCTCTTCACCTTCTCTCCGCTGCACGAGGCCTGCATGGGCGGTAAGTGACCTGATGCTTGATGTAACACGATTAGGTCGATTAGGTATGTTTATTAAGGCTGTCAGGTGATTGAAGAAATTATTATTATTTTATTAATATATAATATATGTGACCCTGGACCACAAAACCAGTCTTAAGTCGCTGGGGTATATTTGTAGCAATAGCCAAAAAAACATTGTATGGGTCAAAATGATAGATTTTTCTTTTATGACAAAAATCATTAGGATATTAAGTAAAGATCATGTTCCATGAAAATATTTTGTAAATTTTCTACCGTAAATATATCAAAACTTAATTTTTGATTAGTAATATGCATTGCTAAGAACTTCATTTGGACAACTTTAAATGTGATTTTCTCAGTATTTAGATTTTTTTGCACCCTCAGATTCCAGATTTACAAATAGTTGTATCTCAGCCAAATATTGTCCTATCATAAAAAACCATACATCAATTGAAAGCTTATTTATTCACTCACTCAATTTAACCTAGGGTAATTTATGTATGTTTATTACAGCTGTCAACTGGTTAAAAGAAATGATAATAAAATAATAATAATAATTCTAAATAATAATAATTAAAAGAAATAATAATGTATTAATTAGTAATAATAATAATGTAATAATTTATAATATAGAATGTTATATCTAAAATGTAACCTAGAGTTGTTTATGTATATTTATTAGTGCCACCAATTTATTATAGAACTGATTATTATTATTAATAGTAGTAGTATTAACATTATATTATTTTATTAATACTTAATTATATAATATAAAAAATACATTAGTTATGCTTATATTAATCATGCACTGATTACATTTAATTAAAATTAATCACAAATAACCACATGTATCAATATTCGATGAGAGAAAAATCTCAAATATTTTTTGTCTGCCAGGTAACTCTAAATGTGTTCAGCTCATGATTGATGAAGGTGCGTTCATGGAAGCTCATGACTGTCACTTTGGCACTCCTCTGCATGTGGCGTGTGCAAGACAACAACTCGACTGCGTCAAAGTTCTGCTCAACGCAGGTCAGTTTCTGCATTTACATTTCTGTGTGTTTTATTTTTATTTGAAATTTGGATAATGCATTAGCTAACTTGATTAACAATGAGCAATATATTTTTTTACAGCATTTATTAGTCTTTGTTAATACAATTGTCCATGTTAGTTCACAGTACATTAACTAATGGTAACAGAAACAACACTAGATTCTAAAAATGTACTAGTAAATGTTGAAATAAGATTATGAAATAATACAGATAAATAAATGCTGCAGTATTGTTCATTGTGAGTTCATGCTACTAAAGTTGTTAACTAATAGTAAGCTCACTAACTTCAAATGAACATAAATCAAATCTCTTGTTCTTACATTTGAACATTCAAATGATGTCCGTGTATTCTTTTATGTATTTGATCCTGTTTTTAGGTGCAAATGTAAATGCTGCTAAACTTCACGAGACCGCACTGCATCATGCTGCCAAAGTGAAAAATCTGGAACTAATTGAGCTTTTGGTAGACTTTGGGGGAAATGTTTTCGCCAGAGACAACCTCGGAAAAAAGCCCATTCAGTACACCAGAGCCGGCTCAGCGCCTGCACTCTGCCTAGAGTTTTATGAATGTAAGTTGAAGTGCTTCGTTTATAAGCTGTGGATCTGGTATAATGATAGAAGAGGTTTTTTGTAGAGTGGTCATGTAATGAGATATCAAATTTCCTTGTTTCTCTGAGATAAAAAGGTTAATTGTGAATGAAACATCCAACCAGACCGTTTACTGAAACTAAACCACTAAAAAGAAGGGAAGCACAGCATCAGAAAATGGCCTGTTTTATTTTAAGGGTTAGAGATCAAGTGGAAAATTTAAAAGTCAAAGTAAAAAAATTATATGTGGAATTGCAAGAATGAAATATGTTTTTTTATTAGTTTGGCTAAGGCAACTAAAAAATGACAACTTCTTGTTTGACATCTTCCAGCCACACCTCTCAGTCTTCAACGGTTATGCAGAACTGCTTTCAGAAATGCCCTCGGGAAACGGGTGCTGGGGGTGTTGACTCAACTGGGCCTCCCAAACCGAATCATCTGTTTCCTGTCTTATTTACCAGCTCCTCCCCTGGAGCTCTTCCAGTCCTGACGATCTGCTCTGCTGCTTCTGTCCAGGTCATGAATAATGGCCACGACACTGACTGTGTTTAAGAAAAAGGGAGATTCCTTATTGTGAAGCGCAGCTACTGTAACAGCTGCACTCAGTATTTGTCACGTATGTTTGATATTTTCCTGCTGTTACAGCAGCGAACCAGTCCAACAGACGACATGGACATTTGGTATGGATGCAGTTTACTGCCAAAATTCCTAGAATAATTGGACTTGGAAAGAAGCACCTTTCACGGTATTTTCTGTGTTGCATCACATTTTAGCTGCTGACACATCTTACAGTGAGGCACAATAAGACAAAGAGCGTGTTTTCTTGCAGTTAATCCAAACCATAATACTAGTTGTATAATTAACTTTCTTAATCTGCATTGTATGATTTCATTTACGTTATTAGATTTGTAAATACACTGTATATAAAATTGTCTTATTTTAATTCAGTTTGATATGAATTATGCAAATTGTGTATATCATAATAGTCTTATTTTAATTCAGTTTTATATGAATTATGCAAATTGTGTATATCATAGCATATTCTCATATAAATGTGTATACAATATATATTAATATATTGTGCAAATGCTTTATAAATGAATGTTGTACATAGATTGTTTTTAAAATGTATGTTCTGTTGTGACTTATTGAACATAGTTGTAACAGAAATTGTAATTTCTAAATTACACAGTATTACAGTTATGTTTTACTTGACCTGTGTTGAGAATTGACCAGACTTACTACTTACAAGGACACAATAGATTTTTTTTTTTTTCAGTCACTGCTCTAAAGTCTTAATTTGGCTGCAGTTTGTGCATACTGATATTCAAAGTTTTATAATATATTTTGCTGTTTCTCTGCACTAGCTAAATTCTCTTTACAAGTCAGATGCAAGTATCAAGTCATGTTAAATAGAAGTGCAAAAATTACAATTGTATTCCTATACGAACAGGAACGCTACTGTTGCACTTTTATTATCTAAGTTTTGTGTTTACATCATCAGACATGGCCGTATTGCGGCGACAACGGCGGGACTTTTATTTTGACATGATTTGTGGAACTCTGAAGCCGGAAGTCGCCGTCAATCGTGAAGTTCTGGGGGAAGCTGCTTGGTCAACTCTTACTCAAAACTTTGGACAGACTTATTTAACTGCAGTTTTTACAAGCTGAATCTGTAGTCTCCTGACGAATCCTGTTCGTACGGGTTACGTGGCTTCCAGTCGAGTGTGAAGTGGCGTTTAAAGTGCTCCTCATGGCATTATTTTGGGCGAGAGAGCAGTAATTAGCAGAGCCCTGTTGATCAAATCAGCCAGAGGTCGCAGAACTGCAGTGTAAGCGGTGAGTTTCCTTGTCCACGCCTTACAGACGCTCTCTATCGCGTTTATACCCCTCCTCGGCTGTTTACATTCATTTTCATGTGAACTGGCACTGTGGACATTTTTAAACAGCTGATTTCCTTATAAAGGCTGTGCGTCAAATCATAGTGAGCTGTCTAAATAGATTTCTCGTGATACTTTGTCTGATTAATAACATGTTAAACGTAAATCTTTTACGTTTTCTGTGCCAGGTATTTACTGTTGATCAGCCTATTGGTTTTCTTTAGGGGTTTTGACCTAATTTGATCACAAACATGACAATCAGTGAAAGTATAAAAGCCACAAGCAAGGTAATTGGATGGTACGAGACGTTCAAAGCAGTTTAAAGTGCATATTTACCTAGAGTACAACCACAATTGTGTGTAAAGTTGCCATTTTCTTACTAACCCTATGGTTGGTTAAAGAGTGTGACTTTTTTCTGTACAATACGAACAAATGTAAGCAGTAACAGAATAAGGGAAACTATTCCTTTCCGAAAGATTGATATTTGTCCTCATCATGTAACTATAAGTTAATTTATAAAAATTGTTCTTATTTAGCATATGTAGTTGCTCTATAGTTTTCCAGTTAAAGTCAATGTGAATTTCTGTTCCATTGTTTATGGAAGCCTTTTTCCACCATAGGATAAAACACACAAAAAAGATAATTACATCTTTTTTTTATCTCACAGTTCTGACTTTATAGTTCTGGCAGTTTATATTCACTTTTTTCTCTAAATTCTGAGCTTATATCTCATAATTCTTTTTTTCTCTGCCACGGAATTTAAAAGAAAAGGTAATTGCAACTTATCATACAATTCAGATTTTTTAATATAAACTGTTTAGTTTATAAGCGAGTTAAAATCTCACAATTATATTTCACAATTCTGAAATTCTGCCTCTAAATTGTGCAATTCTGACATTTTCTTTTCTCAGAATTGTGAGGAAAAAAGGCTGAATTGTGAGAGAAAATGTCACAATTACCTTTTTAATGGTTTAAAAAAAAAAAAAAAAGTATTTTTGTTGTCACATTGAAGAAACAAGCTTCCATAGTTCACAACCAATTTTACTTCTGTAATGTGTGTTTTACTTTTATATCCGGGCTGAATGTGAGTTTGTTGGCTGGTGGTTAACATTATCCAATTGGCCACACCATGACGTCAGTGGAAAAGGGAAAGTTGTTGAAGAGGAAGAACATGTAATTTAATTTTGTGGACACTTTTTTTCTTTTTCTTTAGACCAATGTGCTCCGATGCATAGCTTACAATTTTGATTAAACATGCATGTGTAATATCTTAAATTGATAACAGTAAAAAAGATGTTTTGAGCGGAAATCTGTGTCTCAGGTTTAGGTTGAGCAAGTAAAAACGGCTCTGGGGTCAGTGACCTCTGCTTCTCTCTCAGGTTAATGTCTTTTCCTGGCTGTACTCTGAGAATGACTTTGACATTTAGCCATTCTATAAATAGATTGTAGGGGTAATGATTGCAGAGGGGGATGCTTTCTTACAGAAACTGTTATTGCTATCGTGACGTCAGTGGTCACATGACAGTGGAGAAATTGCTAAATAGCCTCCAGTATGAGTCATAAAAATGAGAAGGTAAATAAGACAACATTATATTATTCACTGTGCAATATGCTGTTAATTCACTGTCTGTAAACTCTCAGTCACCCAGACAACTGCTGAAGCCTGCATAAAGCTTGCATGCATGGGTGGTGTTGTCAAGTCGTGAATGAACCATGTTGCTGTTTTAATTCATTTGTTGATTCATGATTACTTTTTTTGCTTTGGCTGTTTATAATTTTGCCTTGTGTGTTATACGTTTTATTTTTTACATTTTCTGTGGAACGTTTATGCGGTCATCTTGTCCAGGATTCCCTGGAAGAAGAGATTTTCTTTTATCTCAATGGGACATTCCTGGAAAAATAAAGGATAAATAAATCAAGTGGAACATGGGAGCATGTTACTTTTCTTAGCGCTTTTAGAGATGAGTCGACTGAACTAATCATAATTTTGATTTATATGGTATAGCATTCAAAAGTTTTGGGGTCAGTGCAATTATTTATATATATATATATATATATATAACTTATTTCAGTGAGTATGCATTAAATTGATCAAAAGTGACCGTGTCAATTATAATGTTACAAAATATTTCTGTGTCAAATAAATGCTGTTCATCAAAGATACCTGAAAAATGTGTCACGGTTTCCACAAAAATATTAAGCTGCACAACTGTTTTTAACATTGATTGTTTTTTTGTTTGTTTTTTGAGCAGCAAATAAGTATATTAGCAATTCAGCATATATATATATATATATATACTGTATATTTATTTCTAAAAGATTCTGTGACAGTGACTGGAGTAATGATGCTGAAAATTCAGCTTTGCATCACAGGAATAAATTACATTTTACAATATATTCAAATAGAAAACAGTTCTTTTAAATTATATATATATAAAACTTATTTCAGTGAGTATGCATTAAATTGATCAAAAGTGACCGTGTCAATTATAATGTTACAAAATATTTCTGTGTCAAATAAATGCTGTTCATCAAAGATACCTGAAAAATGTGTCACGGTTTCCACAAAAATATTAAGCTGCACAACTGTTTTTAACATTGATTGTTTTTTTGTTTGTTTTTTGAGCAGCAAATAAGTATATTAGCAATTCAGCATATATATATATATATATATATATATATACTGTATATTTATTTCTAAAAGATTCTGTGACAGTGACTGGAGTAATGATGCTGAAAATTCAGCTTTGCATCACAGGAATAGGCCTAAATTACATCTTAAAACATATTACAATAGACGGCAGTTATTTTAAATGGTAATAATATTTAACAATAGTACTGTTTTTACTGTATTTTTGATCAAATGAGCATCTTTGGTGAATGTAAGGCTTCTTTAAAAAACCAACCCCAAACTTTTGAATGGTAGTGTATTTTAGTACTCTGATAACCTCTCTGTCTCTCTCTCTCTCTCTCTCTCTCTCGATTTAGACAAAAAGGATTACATTGCCAAACCAGTATACAAACACAGAAAATGTTTTATTTGTGATATTTGCACAGATGTTTTGAAATATTTATTTGTATGTCAATCTGTTTGTGAGTACTAAAGTGTTATTAATATATGCTTGTGCATTCTCTCTCACAGGTGGTCTCTCAGGACTGTAAGATGACGGAGTATAAGTTGGTTGTTGTGGGAGCAGGTGGTGTTGGGAAGAGTGCTTTAACCATCCAGCTCATTCAAAATCACTTTGTGGATGAATATGACCCTACTATTGAGGTACATAATGACAAGTACATAATTACTTACACTGTCAAAGATGCATTTATTTGATGAAAAACACAGTAAAAACAGTAATATTGTTAAATATTATCACAATTTAAAATAACTATTTTCTGTTTTAATATATTTTAAAATGTAATTTATTCTTGTGATGCAGAGCTGAATATTCAGCATATTACTCCAGTCTTCAGTGTCACAAGATCCTTTAGAAATCATTCTAATATGCTGATTTGGCGCTCAAGAAACATTTATTATTATTACCAATGTTGAAAAGAGTGGTGCTGCTTAATATTTTTGTGTACCGTGATGATAAAAAAAAAAAGCTAAAGAACAGCATTTATTTGAAATAGAAATATTTTGTAACATTATGAATGTCTCTTTTGATCAATTTAGTGCATGACCCTACATTTTTGAAAGTGAATGTACTAGTGGACTTTTCATATTTGACATTTAACTCATGACCATCACCATTTGGCAGGTCATTTGTCATCATGACCTGCACTGAATATTTAAGTAGAATAGGATATATACGTCCATTACTCTTGTTTAGTTTGATTCATGTAATCATGAGTCAGGCTCTATGCAGATTTACAGTGCTGAACATGTCCGTGTCTTCAGGACTCTTACAGGAAGCAGGTGGTGATTGACGGTGAGACGTGTCTGCTGGACATCCTGGACACTGCAGGGCAGGAAGAGTACAGCGCAATGAGGGACCAGTACATGAGGACAGGAGAGGGTTTCCTCTGTGTCTTTGCCATAAACAACCTCAAATCCTTCGCCGATGTGCATTTGTACAGGTCCGTAAGCTGATGAAAGGGGTTTCAGTTGTATTTTATGAATCATCTGGATTTTAAAGAGGTCATGACATGGGTTTTTTTTTATTTGTTATTTTATTTTAATATGTTCCTTGAGGTTTACTTATAATGTTAATAAAAAAAAATTTGCACAAAAAACAAATAAATATGTGGAAAAATTATTATTTTCAACCCTCATTCTGACCCTCTGTCTAAAACGACCTGTTTTTAAGGGGTGTGTCTTAGGCCTGGGCGATAAAACGGTATCGATATTTAACTCCCTTTGATTTTTTTCGATAACGATAAAAAAA